GCCTCAAGGGGCGGGCCAGGCCAGAGTGAACCCGTCATGGAGGGACGGGGTAGGAGGGCGGGGCAGAGGGGCACATCTGAAGCTGGGCTGGGCAGAGGGAAGCATCAGGGGGCGGGCGGGGCTGGGCAGGGGGAGTGTGGGATGGGTGGGCTCACCGAGAGCATGTTCTTGGAGATGATGACAGTGACGTTGTACAGAATGAGGCAGTCCCACAGCACCAGGCGCGAACGCGTGTCCTTCTGCAGCAGGGCGGTGCCGAACAGCAGCAGGTAGAAGCAGGCCAAGAGGTAGCCCAGGCCGAAGATGCTGATGCGTGTGGCTCCCGTGACAAAAACCACCACCAGCACCAGCCAGAACAGGTAGCGGAAGACAGCCACCTTCAGCATGTCAAGGTGGGACCTGCCAGGCAAGGACGTCACGGGGTGCCCGGCCTCCCCTCTCGAGGCCCCGTCTCCCCTTCCCTGAGGCCCCAGGTGGCACGGGCCTCACCTGCAGTGGATGAAGTTGGGCACCGGGTTGGGCTCCCCCCGCAGCGGATCCAGGTGGTCGGTGTTGATGCCTGCCATGCGCTGCCACTCCTCTGTGCGTTCGGCCGAGAACACCTGCCACTGCTGGGAGGCACAGAGCAGCAGGAGGAAGTCGCCTGTGGGACAAGCAGATGCTGGCCGGGCCTGCACTGCAGCCAGGACCTGTGCTGTGGGACGGCCCCCACCCAGAGCCCAGCAGGTTCACGTCTACCCAGTGAGCACCAGTGTGTGCTCGTGTGGACACCAGTGTGGGCACCTACCCAGGGCAGCTCTGGGGAGTGTCAGTCTGAGGACACACCTGGGCACATGGGCCAAATATCTGCACATCCACGTCAGGACACACGGGCTGACATGTGCCGGACTGCATGCCATGGGTGTGGGTATGCACACACCTATGTACAGACTTGGGTATGTACAGTGGGCTGTGTGCATGCTCTTTGATGTGTCCTGTGTGGGGGTGAGTTGGGGCCCTCAGGCCCATGTGGACATACCTGTGGGGCAGGCGGTCACTCACAGCAGGCTGGTCTCCGCCAGGGAGACACAGAGCTCTGACTCGGCAGGCAAGACTGAGACAACCCGTCCCCTCACTGGTTCAAGACGGGTCCCCACTGGCTCATGGCACACCTGGTGTGCGGAGCCTTCTCAGCTGCCGGATGCGTCCCCCCACGGGTGCCTGGTGGACACTCACTGATGAGGTTGGTGGAGTTGGGGGCCCGGAAGAAGTCGGGCAGGTACAGCCACTTGATCAGCGCAGAGTTCATGGGGATAGCCTGGCTCCAGCGCCACGGGTAATCTGTGGGGGAAGGGGGGGACATCGGGAAGGGCCCATCTGCTGATCAGCGGCCTTGGAGGCCCGGGACTCTGTCACCCACATGCCAGCGTCCATGGGAGTCCTCTCATGCCCGCTCACGCGCAGGCACAGAAACACACCCCACATACTCGGCATCCAAGAGCTTCCTGGGCATTCCCACAATACGTGCTATTCTTAAGCACAAATTGCACCAGGTTCTAGGGGAAGAAAGCCTGTAACTGGCCAGAAAGCCACGGGGCAGGCAGGGTGGGAGCAAGCTGTGGTCCACACAGGGTCACAGCACATCATGCACTCACACATGTAGTATCACACGTGCATATGACATAAACCAGAAGCTGGAAACTGCCCCGATGTCCTGCAGTGGTGGAAGTTTACAGAACACAGCTCAGCACGGAAAGGAACAGTTGTCAACACATGTGACACCCGAGATGAACCTTGTGAGTGAAAGGAGCCAGATGCCAGCTGGGTGCAGTGGCGCTCGTACCTGTAATCCCAGCCCTTTGGGAGGCAGAATCGCTTGAGCCCAGGAGTTCAAGGCCAGCCTGGGCAACATAGCGAGACCTCATCTCTAAGAATAAAAATTTTAAAAAGCCAGATGCCAGAACTGCACACGGTACAACTCTACATGACATGACACGGAGTTCCCGACAAGGCACCACTGCGGGCACAGCCCAGCTCCATGGCTGCTGGGGTGGAGGGCTGCCTGCATGCCAGAACATACCCCAGGGTGGAGGAAGAGCTCCTCAGGGACTGGGGTTGCACAGCTCTACACTCTCGTCAAAGCCCACAGGATGGTGCCCGCCAAGTGAAAGGAGAAAGTTGCCTGGAGGTTGGGGAACCCAGGATGGCGCAGACGGTGACAAATGAATGTAACCAGACCGCACGCACAGGAAGCAGCCTCAGGAGGGAACGTGAGGAAGGTGCCGACCTGAGTGACCTTTTCTTGAGTTGGGGTCTCTCTGTTGTCCAGGCTAGAGCGCAGTGGCACGACCACGGCTCACCACAGTCTCAACCTGCTGGGCTCAGGCGATTTTTCCACTTCAGCCTCCTGAGTAGCTGGGACTATAGACACACACCACCACACCCATTAATTTAATTATTTTTTGTAGAGACAAGGTCTTGCTATGTTGCCCAAGCTGGTCTTGAACTCCTGGGCTCAAGCGATTTTCTCATCTTGGTTTCCCAAAGGACTAAGATGACAGCACATAAGAGCATATGACATGTGACCATGCACTCAGCCGCAGAGCCCACGGATCTGCCGATGACGAAACACCTGTGGTGGGGGGTCAGTGATGGATGCACCGTGGGCAGAAAACCTGACTGATGGAAGCGCAGGGGCAGAAGGGATGGCCTGTGTTCCCCAGTCCCAGGGACAGGTGACTCGACGCCTGCCAACACCAGTCCGCCAGGTACAGCCGCGGGCAGGATGCCCACAAATCCACAAGCACCAGGAACAGGACAGGGATGCCCTGAGCCTGCCACACAGGTGTGCTGCTGTGCTTGGCGCTCACCACACCTAGACACCTGGGACAGCCAAGAGGATCCAAAGCCTCAGGGCAGCTGCAGAACCACCAGCCCAACTCCAGAACTAGCCAAGAGATACGAGGCAGGGTGGCCCAGACAGAGGACAGGAGAAGCTAAGGTCAAATAGGGCCCAAGGCAGAAGACACAGCTGCCACCGACACCGTGGAGAGGCTGGGCTTTTTCAATACAGATGACATGTTGCCCAGGAACAGCCTACATGTGTGGTCACCTGCAGGTCCAGGGCATGGCCCACCCTCAGGGCACATGCTTGAGGCCATATTTGAGTGTGAGCATCACACCTAACCCCCACGTGGCCCAGAGAGAACACACAGCATTCCCAGTGCTGTTCTTGCAACTTTCCTCGAGGTTTGAGGTGCTTCAAAATAGAGTCTCAGGCAAAAAGAGGAAAGACAAGAACAGAGGACCACAGTGACCACACGTTATAGCTGGTATGGGCCCTGGAGGGGGTGGTAGTGCGGCCTGGAGTGGGCAGGATGGCCTTGCCGGGGCTGGGCTGTCCCACGAGAGGGGTCGGGAGCCCCGGGCAGATGGGAAACACCCTGGTGGGCTTCCGCATGGCCACGAAACCCCCATGCCTGGCCATGCCCACACTGAGTCCCATGGCCGTCCGCTCACCGATACAGAGGGCTGGGGGGATGCCCAGGCACAGCAGATACTGGTACAGCAGGAAGAGTGCCAGGAAGAGGCAGTAGTTGGGCCAGAGGCGGGCGATGGCCTGGCGGCGCCGGCGGGTGAGAATGGCCACCAGCCAGCAGCCGTGCAGGATGACCATGAAGTTCATGCGCTGTCCAATCACGTTCACGGCCATCAGGAAGCAGATCTGGGGACGGAGGGGGCAGACAGAGTGGGAGGGAAGGGGTCTCCGTGGCCTGCCCAGGCCCTCAGCCAACACAGGGTGGGGGGGGCAGGCTCAGCATCCTGCATGGGTGGGCAGCAGCCTGGACACCCCACCCCCCTCCTGAGAAGCTGGAGAGATGGGGCATGTCTCCACCACTTGGGGGAAACTGAGGCTTGAGGGGGAGGGCTCTGAGGCCGAGTGAGAGTCTGACCTGGCCTCCCCACCTCTTCTGGGCATGGAGGTACCACCAGGCCTGGTGGGGGCCCAGCTGGGCCCTGGAGGGGGAGGCTCTTGTGCCCACCATGCCCACCACCCACCCTCGCGCTCATCCCGGGCACCTGAGGGGGAACCATGCTCCCAGGTGCCCATGTGCTACAGATGCCCCCCCAGGACCGTGCAGCCCCCCACACCGCCCCCGGCAGCTGAGTCCTGCCTAGGGAGGAGGCGACGCCCCGCCTTACCTCCAGCCCGAATTTGTAGAAGAAGAAGTTGATGAAGTACTTGAGGCAGCTGAGCAGGTCCCGGTCCAGCCGCTGGCGGGTGCCGTCGGCACACACGGCCTGGGCGGGCAGCGGGGCCAGCTGATGCTGCCGGCGGTGGTGCTCCTGGCGCCGGTACACGATGGCCTCAAACACCAGCAGCAGCAGGATCTGCAGGTGGTTCTGGGAGGGGTGAACGCAGACACTGGGCGCCGCCATGGCCCGCCCCTCGCTGGCTCCGCCTCCACGTGGGCCCCGCCCCATAGCTCTCCCACGTCCGCTCTGCCACTCACGGGCCCCACCCTGCACCTGCCCTGCCCCTAGCCGCCCCGCCC